CGCCAGGCGCTTCAGGAGGTGGAAGTCGGGCAGCCCCGGCGCATCGCAGGAGCCCGGGGAGGCCATCCCCGCAGCAGGAGGCGCCGGGGCAAAGGACCGCACCGCCCGGAACCGCCGGCAGCAGGACCGGGAGAAGGCGGAGCGGGCCGCCCCGCGCACCCGGAAGGGGCCGGTTTCCACGGCATCCGGAGCCGGTTGCTTTCCGGCCACGCCTTCCTGTCCTTCCGGGTGTGTTGCAGTTTGGCACCGCCGCCAGGGAGGGCGCTGTGGTTTGCTTGCCCAATGGCAGCGCTAGGAAGCCGCAGAGCAGTAATCTTTGTCACTGTGAAATACTGTCATAGAAAAAGGCTGCGTGGTTTCCCCTTCCCCCTGTACAAATGCAGGAGCAGATGATACTTGTTAATTGAATCACTTAAAAAAATTTAAGTAGACAGCCAACTTTAAATGAGAATTTAATTTTTGGCTCTGCACCAAGATCTTGTGTGTGGACCATGGATACAGATTTTTGATCAAATATCAGGTTACTGCTCTAGGTCTTAGGAGGTTATGATAGAAAAATTCAAAGAATTTTGTATACCAGTACCATGATTTGCACATTGCTGGTGCCAAACCATTCTGGGGATGTGCTACGGCTCTAGTGACTTTATAGGAAACTGCATTAAAACCCTATGAGGCTTCATGGGTACGTGCTTTTGTGCCAAGGCAGGACAATGACTCACTGGTGTGTAGTGTTTGGGGTACAAAGCATGGGCACCAGTTAGATTTAAGACTTTATGGTGAATTTAGTGGTGCCTGGTGTAAAATTCCAGAGAATCAGTCCCACACATAGTTTGTTCTACTACAGGAGTGCTATGAAGTCCAAAATCTGAGGTGTTATAATGGATTCAGATGCATTTTGACCATAGTTTTGGTAGGATTCCCTATGAAAAAACTGAAGGGTCTATGCTCCAGACTGATGTTTTTCTGCCATGGTGGTACGATGAAATACATGAGCTAGGATCTGTATGGCTCACTTCATCAGCATTTTATTATCATTATTACTCTTTTAAACTTTATTCTCTATTAAGATGCCTTAGAAAAATAGATAAGCAAGTTGTAATATATGAGGTGTTATAATGGATTCAGATGCATTTTGACCATAGTTTTGGTAGGATTCCCTATGAAAAAACTGGTCTATGCTCCAGACTGATGTTTTTCTGCCATGGTGGTATGATGAAATACATGAGCTAGGATCTGTATGGCTCACTTCAGCATTTTATTATCATTATTACTCTTTTAAACTTTATTCTCTATTAAGATGCCTTAGAAAAATAGATAAGCAAGTTGTAATACAGCACCATATAATACAATGATCTACATCATCCAATACATAGCATTACAGGCAAATCTATAATAATATGGTCAATTTCTATGGTCAGTTAATCCCTGGGCTTATCTTGTCACCCCTTTTCTGATAGCAGCTATATTCAAGAGGTGTCAAAATATCAACTTGACTGCTCTCAGTCTGGCCTCAATAACATACAGAAAAAATTATGACATGGAAGAATCCTGCTTCATGATGAGAAGGAGAAGCTGTTGGTATCATAATTGCTACTTGTCACAGTGCCTTTCCCCAAGAACAGCAGCCCACACCACCCAATCCACATAAACTGTGCTCCTCTGGGCTGCCACTCTGGGAGAAGCCAGAAAGACATCCACAAGAAACCAGACCTTCTAGATTGTGGCACCATCCCTACAGAATGGGCTTCCGGTTGGAACTGTGTCTGGCCCTAAACTCCTGGGCGGCTTCCTCGGGCTCTTGCTCCGCTTGGCAGAAAATCTGATGCGGCCCAGCCTCACCCAGACTCTGCCTCCTGCGGCCACCAGGTAAATTGAGTTTAAAACCCCTGTTCTAGGTTGTGGCACCATCCCTACAGAATGGGCTCCCGGTTGGAACTGTGTCTGGCCCCCTTCCCTGCTGCCTTTAAGAGGATGTGAAAAATTAAGGTGTTTCAAGAAGCTTTTAGGGGCATCCTTGGCTAATCGATTATCAGGATTTTGCCATTGTCTTGCTATTGCTTGGTTACTCAAGTTTATTGATTATTGCCTTTTATCCGATGTTTCATTTTGTTTCTTTCTGGTGATTTAATGGCTCATCTGTTATACTATATTTCATTGATTGTCCTTCAATATAAACCACCCAGAGCAGTGCCTAGTACTAACTGGACAGTATAAAGCTTTTGAAATAAATAAATAACCCCATGCCTCTGCCCCAATTCAGATTGAAGAACTACTCTCTGAACCAAGTCCATCATTTCATCAAAATAAAAATGTATTCCAGTAATCAGATATTGGATAGAGATTTTATTAAGCATCACTACCAATAGTCATTCTTTCAATATTAGCCCAACAACAAATGACAGGCAATCCTAGAATCCTGTCAAAACGTTCTGTCAAAAAAAGGATTTCTCAGTATTCTCTTGCACTCTTCCTCCTCAACACAACTGCAGAACAACTTTTACAGGTCATTAGATTCTGGAGGAGATCAAGGCCAGAAAAGTGAGGGACTGATGAAGTTGTCTTCTTATATGGGGATTCTTCTGCTATAGAATTTGCCTTCATTACAGAGTGGCCAAACTGCTTTTGGACTGTCTTTTTGCATCTTGCCACCTTAGCTATTGAATCAAAGAGCAGAAGAGTCATCAGCTGAAATGAACTTCTCAGACAGAACTAGAGCAATCCAAACACATGCAAGGTCCATCGTGGAGAGTGCAAAGACTGTGGGACAGGAAAGTAGATTCAGGAGAACTGGTCCAAAGTCCCTTCATTATTCACCCAACATCAAGATATCCAGGTGGTTTTCTTTCCAGTAGAGTTGGGCAGTGCCCTGCCATGTCAATCTGATAGGCCTCTTGCTTTAAACAACAGCCACAGCTTCTCTTCCAGCACCGGATTTGCACCATGCAACCCCTTCACTACCTCCAAGGCCCAAAGAAAGTACTCCTGAACCCGTTTTTCAGACCAACCTGGCCAAAGAGATTATCCACTTCTTAGAAAACACATACAGAAATTACCTAATTGATTGGCCATATTCATGTGACAGTTAGATCAACTCACAACTTTGAGTGGTTTCAAGAATGGTAGATTTTAGTCTGTATTCTCTGCAGCACAAAACAAAACAAAAACCTAAGGCAGTTTCTTTCGTATAAGCTTTCATGGTAATGGGTTTCAGTCCACAAAAGCTTTTGTCATAAAAAGAGGGGTGTTATTAGTCTTTAAAATTACCTGTGGATCTGTTCATTTTGAGTGAAAATTACAATGCCTATTAGAAAGAGGGGAAGATGCTCCAGTGGCTGACCAACCCACAGCAGTACTGCTGACAAAACCTACTGAAGATTTGTCACTCATTCCCTGTCATAGGCTTGGCTCATGGTGATGCTTCCCATAGCCTGTTTTGATATACAGTGGACCCTCTACTTACAGAATTAATCCGTATTGGCTGCAGGTCGAAAAATCTGCAGGTTGAGTCTCCATTGACCTACAATGCATTGAAAACCTATTAATCCCGTAACTGGCTGTTTTTGTTCCATTTTGGTTTTTTTCTGGTCTGTTAAGTCGATTCTCCGGCTGCAAGTTGAACCTAAATTTTGCGGCCAGAGAAGTCTGTAACTCGAAAAGTCTGTAAGACAAGCCGTCTGTAAGTCGAGTGTCCACTGTATGAATTTGCTTTGACCTCGTTTGACTCGGGAAATGCTTCATGGTTTATTTTGCCCATTTCCCTTTCACTACATTATATCTGTCAATATATTGCAATACACCCAAATTTTAGAGCTACAGGAAGCCAGAAATTGAGAAGAACCAAGTGTTTTAACGTTCTGTTCTATAAAGAAGAAAAAAAGAATAAACATGGACCCAAACACACCAAGAATAAATAGTACAAGATGAACCTTGAGGGGTGCAGCGGTTCAGGTCTCGCAGGTTATAAAGTTTATCAGCCAGTTTCACCAATTTGGCAGCCTGGCTGCAATGAGCAGCATGTTCAATCTGCAGGCGCTTGCGCTCCATCTTCGGCAGCCTCTTGTCATCAGTCACTTCTTCTACAATGCGCTTTACCTCTTCCCCAAAGCGCTCCTCAATCTCTGAGAAGGTAGTGTTTGTGTCTTCGACTGTGTCATGCAGAAGGGCAGCCTGGAAACAGAGAAAAGGCTAGTAGTTTGGTTCTAAACACAAAAATGCTGGGATGGGTCTGCACGGAGTCCAACAGACTTCTCTTTTCTGCAGTGGTTTGAGGGGGAAAGGGCGCTCTGCCCATGCGTAGCAGCACAGTTGCGATTTGAATTATTTTTGCTGTTGTTGTAGGCCTGGGCTTAACAACAGCACTAGGCAGGAGGGTGTGAGGAGGTTACCTGCAGTATTACAACGTCCGTTATTCCCGCCTCCTGTGCCAATATCTGGGCCACACCTGGGGATACACAAAAGAACAGGTCTTGCTTTCTAAAAAAAAAAAGAGGGAACGCTCCGCCCGCCTCACCCACCGGAGGGAAACAGGCGCGATTCGAGCCCCGGAGCCTCCGCTTCCCGGCTCACCGATGGGATGATTGATATACGGCGTGCTCTCCGGATCTTTGCGGCGCTGGGAGGCGTGCTTGCGGGCGGCGAAGTCGGCCGCGTCCAGAAGCCGCACGGCCTCGGGAGCGCTCATGGCGGGGCGACAGACCCACAGCCCCGGCGGAGGAACCGGTAGGGCGTTCGGCTTTCCCTCCCGCGGCCGGCCGGGCTCTGTGAGAGAAGCGGGGAAGGGGCTGCTGGTGCCGCTGCTTCCGGGCCTAAAAAAAAGCAAAGCCTCCCTTCGAAAGCTCCGACCCAAGGCGTCGTTAAAGCCCCGCCTCCTTTCCCCCCCCTCAGGGCAAACGATGTCTGAGCGAATCCACGCACGCGACGGGAGGAAACGAGAAGCCATTGGGCGAGGCCGCGCACGCGGGGCCTACGTACGTCGGGGAGACGTAAACAAAAGTAAAAGAGTAGAGTGACATGACCCGTGGCGGATTTTGTGTGGGCGGAAGGGAAACTCACATCGCGGAAACTCACATAGATGTCTCTAAGATGTCGCCCTGCTTCTGTTCTAATTTTTGTTAAACGTGCTGAAGCAGGCTAACATTTTTAAACCAAAAAAGTAACTGAAGAAGACGGAACGTCTGAAACCTTTTAATGGCGCTCTACCTCTTCTTCATCCGAGCTCCCTGGGGAGAATTCCGAGATTTCAGCGCTAACTGTCGTTCAACAGCAGCCTTCCCTCCACCAGCCTCCCCTTCCTCATAAAGGAAAGGCTAGCCTTCCTGCTTTCAGATACCATTACGTGGGAAATAAAACTGATTTTAACTATAGTAAAATAAGACTGCACAATCCTGAGTATACTCAGTTTTCATACACTTTGGTTTTCTAGTCCTAATCTTCTCTGACAGGCACTAACTGTGGTAAGATCTTTAGGCATTCACAGCAGATTTTTTTTCTTAAATGAGGAAAACTCAGCCCTCTGCACTATCATCTTTCTACATAATCTTTCTCTACACCAGTGGTGCTTCAGCTCCCAGAAGTCTGGCAGCCGGTCTGGGCTTCGGGCACATGTAGTCTAGAAAACCTGGAAGCCCAATGGTTAAGCACTTCTGGGAGAGTTTAAGAGATGGAAGGCAGGCAAGACCACACAACGCTTCTTCCCAAACCCATCCACTTGCAAAGCTACAGTGATCATTCCAGATTATGGAGGTTTACTACTTTCCTCACCCCTGCTGGTACAGCATGCTTTCTTTCTTTTTTACTGCCCACATACAACAGGTGTGGACAAAAACATGCAATTGCTTATTCTCTCTCCCAGCTCTTTCTTCCACCGAAAAAGGTAAACTGCTGCTCCTGGAGACCTTTAAGTCTGTTGCAAAATCCATCTGCAGCATCTATCACCAGCAGAGAATACACACTTTTCAAAAACTAGAAGTAGACTTTTACCAAGTTCTGGAATTTTTTTGCAGGCTGTGCAGCCCACATAGTTTCTGGAACAGAAAATTGCCCCCTGGATTCACAAAGGTTGCCCAACCTGAGATACAGGATGTTAGCTTGTTAGCCCTAAAGGAAGCCATAAGCTTAAGTTTGCAAGAGCTGAGCAGGCTATTGAGGACAGGACATTTTGGAGGGTTGCCGTAAGTTGGAGGGCAACTTGGCAGCACATAACAAGAGACCTTCTCTGTAGTTGTGCCTCACCTGTGGAATAAACTCCCACCCAAGATTCACCTGACCCCTTCTGTGAAGGAGTGATAGATGTAAATGAAAGAGGAGTGAGTGAGCCGTCCCCTCTTACCATTGAGACAGGAAACAGAGGAGACAACAGTGGGCATGACAGAACGGATGAAAGATCTGAGTGCCGAGGAGAAAAGAGAGGTGGGGTTAAAGGGAGAAAAAAGGGGGGTAAAGGTTTTTCTGGTTTCAGTGGGAAAAGAAGATAGAAAAGTTGTCAGTTTGAGAAGAGGAAGGAGATGAAGGAGGGTCTAGAGTACCAATAAAGGAGTTAGAGAGAGGAAAAGATCCTGGGACAGAGAGAGGGCGAAGAGAACCGAATGTAAAGACTACAGGATTATTACCTGCCTTTCCTAACATAAAAGTTGGAGGATTGTTACCTGACCCCTTAGAATGGACAAGATTCCTGGAGGAAGGAGGTTCATCTAGGACCTATGCCTACCAACTGCAAGCCGAATGGGGTTTGGGCTCACCACCCATGCTGTGGGACAATTTGTGCAGTCCAGAACGCTCCCTTGAAAAAGCCTACCTACCATAAACGGTTTGGACCAGCCCCCCAGTAAAGGAAGAAAAGTTAAATGGAGAACTAAAGTTGCCTTAAATTGAGTCCCTGTTGAATGTTGGCACAGCTGGCCCTACTGAAGTTGTTGTGGCCTCTCCTGATGTTAATTTTAATAAGGAGTTAAGTGAAAATAATGAGACTGTTATTTGTTCCTGCCGAAAAAGAGGAACTGCTTAATCTCTTTACTGAACCCAATCACACCTTCACTGATGTAAAGAAACTGTGCAAAGAGTACAGAGATTCTTTTAAATAGGTTCTTAAACTGCCAGCTCCACCATTTTGCTTTATTAAATGTTTAATTATGTTTTAATTTTACATTGATGAATTGTTTTTATGTTGCTTTTTTAGTTAATTACTGTTATGTTTATTTGATTTTTATTTTGATTAAGTTTCGTGGTGATTATTTATTCTGTTATTGTGGTTTATTTTGTTGTGAACTGTCCAAAGTGGCCTTAATAGCCAGATGGGCGGTATATAAATTATATAAATAAATAAATAGTTTATTTTCCCTCACATCTGTTGTAAAAAGGCCACTTGGAACAAAGGCTACTTTGCTTTCACTCTGATTTACAGCAGAATTAATGGCTGTAACTAGCATAAAATGGTTGGCATAGCTAGTGCAAAGTACTACACCTAGGGGGGGAATAACCCCAAACATACAGTTACAAAATGCTCAGTAAAATTATGAGTGAGAAGAATTGTTGTTGCTCAAAACCTGAATATGAGCCAATGCTATTTTAGGATGCATTAACAGAAGTATTATCTCCAAATCCCGTGAAGTACAAGTTCCCCTCTGTTCAGCACCGATTAGGTCTTATCTAGAATACTGTACTGTGTCCAGTTCTAGACACTACGCTTCAAGAAAGGCGCTGCCAACAAACTGGAACAAGTTCAGAAGAGGGCAAGAAGGATGATCAAAATACTGGAAACCAAGCCCTATGAGGAAGGGTATAAGAACTGGACATGTTTAGCCTTAAGAAAAGAAGACTGAGGGGAGATACAATAGGGGCAGGATCTGTTCTCTATCATCCCTGAGTGCAGAACACGTAATAATTGGCTCAAGCTATAGGAAAGCAGATTTAGGCTGAATATCAGGAAAAACGTCTTAACTGTCAGAGCAGTAAGACAATGGAACCAATTACTTTGCAAGGTGGTGAGTGCTCCAACACTGGAGGCATTCAAGTGAAAATTAGACACTTATCTGTCAGATCTGCTTTGACTGAGATTCCTGCATGGTGGACTCAATGGACTTACAGGCTCCTTCCAACTCAATTATTC